TCAGCAGGCACACAATCAGCCCACCAACCTTCACACACCAGAGCAGACCCACAGGCATGCAGGGAGAAGGGCAGGACCACCACGGAGTGCCAAGCAAGGGCAAGGACCAGTGTGGCTGCCTGTCCAGGCTGTGGTGGAGTCTGACAAAGGGCACCTGTCCGAAGACTTTCTCAGGGACCTGGGGAGGTTTATTCTACTTTCTCATCCCAGCCCAAGCAACTCAACACGGCTGAGGCACCTGGGCCTCTGACAGAAATAAACCATAGAAATAGAGGGGTTCCTTTCCTTTTTTGTTGCTGAACCAACAGAAAGTTGCCCCTGTGAAGGACAAACCCCCACATCAGACTATGGAGGCAGGTCCCCTGGGATGGAGAGGACTTATGGGCTGAGCCCATGGGGGGCGGGGGAAACATTTAGGGAGAGCCACTGTTTGGCCCACAGTAAGGACCCAGCTCGGCTGAGGCACAGGTGCTGGTCCTGCTCTGCCATCCCAGGTCTCACTGCCATCCCCTTATAGCTCCTCCTTTCCCTAGAGGCGCATGAGCTTCAGGGTACAGAGCAACCCGCTGCAGGACTCAGGAGGGCAGGAAGTAACATAAGGGTTTAGGGAGGATGTCCCAGGGACAAAGATGGAAGCCTCTACCCTCCTATTCATTCTCTTCCACTTCTGAGGCCCTCCGACGGCTGGCAAGCAGCACCCCCAGCCACGTGACCAGTCTTGACCTGAAGCACACTGCCCTAGATGTCTCCATCCTCTCTCCAGCCTGTGTCCACTCCTGGAGCAGCCCACACCCGCAGGCACACACCTTCGGTGCAGGAGCCTAGGACTGCTGACAGGGCCTCGCTGGAGGACCAGCTCTCAGGGCAAGGCCGCCCAGTTTAGGGCCCGCGAGAAATGGGATCTGCAGGGCCTGCCTGGGGAAACGGTGAGGCAAGAAGGGAAGGGAAAGGAGAGCAGGGACCCCCTGAGTATCCCTAGAGCAGCATCCCACAAGGAACAGAAACTGGTGAAGCTAGCAAAAGACAGAAAAGCCACGAGGAATCCATGCAGGGGCTGGGGCCGGCCCTGCCTCTGGCCTGCCCACCACTCACACACACACACACACAGGAGACAAGACTGTTCTCCCGTGGCCCCCCAGGGACGCCCCACGGGAAGCCAGGGAGTGGGGGAGTGAGGGCATCATGCCAGTGACTATGTACAGTGAGAAGCCCCTCATCCACTCTCCCACCCTCCTGCCATCCCCTGACCCCCACCAGGCCGCCCACTCAGCTAGTCTCCCTCCGAGACTCCTGGGCAAAGCCAGCAGCCTCTTCCCCTTTACTAGAGGGTGGAGCCTGGCCTGTGGTGCCCTCTGGGGCTGTGCGGTCCGGCTGGGCCACAGCCAGCTCAGGGGTGGCAGCTGCCTTGGTGGCTGGTGTGGCACTGCTTTGGGTGGTGGGCACAGTGCTCTCTTCTGTGGCTGGGGTGACTCTCCCATCAGTGGCTGGAGTAGCGCTCCTGTCGGTAGCTGGAGTGACGCTCCCATCAGTGGCTGGTGTGACGCTCCCGTCAGTGGCTGGGGTAACACTGCCGTCAGTGGCTGGAGTGGTACTGCCATCGGTGGCTGGGGTGGCACTACGGTACGTTATCCCTCTTTGCGGCTGCAGTAGCTCCACCCCCAGAGGCAGGGGCAGTTCCACCTGTAGCTGCAGCCCCACCTGCAGCCCCGGGGGTGGCAGTGTCTGTGGCCGGGGTGGACTGCGCTGCAGCCGAGCTGGACTGCTCCGGTGCTCGAAGCCGTTTCATGAGGGTCGTCACTCGCACAGCTTTCTGAAAGGACAGCAGAGGAAGGCTCAGGGTGAGGCTTGCTGGATCCAGTCGTCTTCTTTTTCTGGAGAGGTTTTTGCTATAGGGTGTGTGCGCTCGCCAGAAAGACAGAGAGACAGAAAGCGAGATGGGCCATCCCCCCTGCCACAATCCCTTCTCCCCTCGGGATGTTGGGCACCATGCACATGTGCCTGGCGTGGCTTTAAGCCACCAGGTCCGGGACTCAAACCACAGTCGACAACATGGGAGTCCAGCGACATAGCCATTGCGCTAACTGCTGGTCCCACTGGATCCAGTCTTGACAATAGCCAAATCCAGCCCCTTTCCTGGAGCCCCCAGTGCACAACCCCAGAGTCAGAGACCCCCACCGCTCAGCACTCTCACTCAAAGAAATGACCGTGGTTACAGCCACACCAACGAACGACCAGAGAAAATCTGTGTATGGTTGTAGGGATGCCACGCAGGCAAGAAATCGTGGGTGCCAGAAAGAACACTCGGAGCTGGGCCAAGAGAAGGAACCAGCAGCCTTACCTTCCACTTGGCCCTAGCGAAGTTCTTTTCAATCTGGGCACAGACACCATCCTTGATGTTCTTATCGGAGGCAGCGTTGCCAGAAATCCTGGAAAGGGTGCGCGTGTGTCTGGATCTGAGGGGCAGGGCCCTCCCAGGAGATGCCTGGCCCTCCTCTGCGGGATGCAGGACTACCAGGCAGACCCTCAGGGCTGGCCTGATCCCCAGGTGTCCCTACCACTCAAGGCTTCTAGGATAGGGGCTGCTGGGAGTGAGGGGGGACGGAGGTCAAGGAACCCTGGCCTCGCCTCTCCCCCACCCCGGGCCCTGCTCACCACTCGTGGGAGATGGCCTCTTCTGCTGTGATCCGCTGATCTTGCTCCACCTCCATTAGCCTTGTGACCAGGTCCTTGGCTGGAAACAAAGTTAAAGAGGGGATAGGCACGGGAGCCCCATCTCCGTTAGAGGGGACATGGGCTGGGGGCAGGAGCGGAAGCAGCAGAAGCGGCGATGGCAGCCCCACCCTGCTCTCTGGCCCTTGTACTAAGCACCTCCTCACCGGCCTGAGAAATGTCGTCCCAGTATGGAGAGTCAAACTCGTAGTCACCAGCCAGGATCTTGCGGAAGAGGTTCTTATCGTGGTTCTCATAGTCGTCTTCCTCCACCTCCTCATAGAAGGGCGGGTTGCCCGAAAGCCTACATGGCGGCAGGGTTACCCAGGAAGGCCATGTCACAGGCCCACACCCCACCCGGCGACGCCTGCTGTCTGCCCGTTCACTCACAGGATGTACATGATGACGCCGATGGCCCAGCAGTCCACGGGGCGTCCATACCGCTGCCGGCCTACCACCTCCGGGGCTACGGCACAGTGTCCATCTGCTGGTCAGTATCGGGCCCGGCCAGGTCTGCTACCATCCACGCCCCCTTCCTGGGATGAGGATTTCCTCCCCTCTACCCAGAGAGGCTCCCTACAGGCTGCCCCCTCCCCCTGCCCCACCGCCAGCTTGCCCAGGTACTCGGGGGTCCCACAGGGCTCCTTGATGAGGCCATTCTCTAGCTTAGCCAAGTGGAAGTCACTGATGACGATCTTCGAGTTCTTCAGCCGGTTGTAGTAAACCAGGTTCTCCAGCTGCTCCGCCCAGAGTGGCGTGTGCACGGAGGCAAAAGGTACCAGGAAGGCCTCAGGGGGGCTGGGGCTGGCCCCAGGCCCCAAGTGCTGCCCTTCCCAGTCCCAGCTGCCCCTTTGGCTCTGGGCCTGGCCTCACCTTGAGGTTCCTGTGCACGATCTTGAGAGAGTGCAAGTAGGCCACGGCCTCCAGGACCTGCCGCACCACGTTGCTCGTGTCTCGCTCCGAGTAGTAGCCCTGGTCCAGGATCCAGTCAAACACCTCCCTCCCCGTGGCCCTGAGGGACACCAGCCCCTGAGCCCGGCGTGGGCAGGATCGGGGGTGGGGCAAGAGCGCTAGGGAGGGCTGCCTGCACCAGGCAGCTGGCTGGGCAAGGCACGGGGACCTGGGACCCCAAGGGTCCAGAAGGGGGCTTTCTTTAGCTACAGAGGGTGGGACAGGTGAAGGCCCTGGGGATTAGGAAATCCTGGGACCCCAGACCCACACTCACAGCTCCAGGAAGATGAAATACTCCTTGCGGGTCACAAATACATCCACCAATTGCAGGATGTTGGGGTGCTTCACCCTGGAGGCAGGGAGAGCAGCAGGTAGTTAGGGTTGGGTGAATCTCTGGGAATGGCTCTGGTCACTACAGTGGCCACAACAGACTAAGTGGCCAGAGGCTGGTACCACCACCCTCCAGGCCTTCCCAGCCTCCGGCCTCACACTCACATCTTGAGGATGCCGATCTCATTCTTCGCAGCCTTCCGCACCTTGCGGCCGTCCCGCTTCTGGAACTTCTTGCAGGTGTGCAGCTTGCCTGTTGTCTTGTCCTTGGCCCGGAAGATTTCACAGAACTCCTCGCTGTAGCCGGTAGGGACCCCACTCAGCCCTGGTCTCGGCAAGGGCTGTTCTGTGCTCCCCCTTCCCCAGCCCTTCCCACCTGCCCACCCTTGTCGAACAGGCCCAGCACTCACGTCTTGATGACCTGTCCCAAATCATATCTGTCAGTCACCTCCGATGGCTGGTTATAGTTCTTCTTGTCACCCAGAGTCACACACCCAAACGGCATTGCCAGGCTCTAAGCTGTGAGAAGGACGAGGTCCAGCTCAGTTTTGCACTCCCAACTTTTACACAACATAGGAAGTGCCTTTGGGAGCCCCCCAGCGTGGGTTAAACCAAGTCAGAAGCAGAAACCACCCAAGGAGGGGCGGCAGGGGAGGCGGGCTCTGTCCCTCCCTTGCTTCCCACATCCCCAGCCACTCAGCGTCGCCGCTAAACCAGAAGAACCCCCACTTATGAAGGACATATCACACATCAGGGAATAGGCTTGCACTATAGACACTCAAAAACAGACTTATCGAATGATTACTTTAAATTTCAGCTACTTCACAGATGAAAGGGGGCTGTAACCACCCACCCAGCAGATATTTGTTGCTGGAGGTCTAGAGATTGGCAGAGACGTGGAGAACACGAGCACTGCCAGTAGTAGGCAGCTGTCCTTTAAAAACAGTATGCTAAAGCCACTAATGTCAAACCAACGTACCCTATGAGCCAGCAATTATAATCCCAAGTAAACTGAATATGTGCCCTGCAGAGATGCACTCACTGGACAGATGGTGGCACAGTGGTAAAACGCAACACTCTGTGAGGCTGACCCATGTGAGGAGGTTCCCTGTTCAAGTCCAGAGACCTCCCAAAGTACCCAGGACTGGCTGAGGCTGAGTGTGGATTGTGGTATCAAGACCCTGTTGGCAAGACCAGCAGATAGTGTAATGTCTATGTCGCTGGACTCCCATGTAGTCGACCACGGTTCGAGTCCCAGACCCAGCGGCTAAAACTCACGCCGGATGCATGTGCGTGTGTGCCCAAGATCCCGAGAGGAGAATGGAGGAGAAGGGACTGCGGCGTGGCCATCCCCCTGGAGGGTGATTTCTCACTTTCTGTCTCTCTGTCCCTCTGGCAAGCGCACGCACCCTATAGCAAAAAATCTCTCCAAAAAAAGAAAAAAAGACCCTGATGGGAGTGCTCTCTCTCTCTCCCCCCATCCTTTCTTTATGAAAGAAAGACAGACAGAGAGAGAGAGAGAGAGAAGGAAGGAAGGAAGGAAGGAAGGAAGGAAGGAAGGAAGGAAGGAAGCAAGCATAGAGGGCCAGCAGGTGGCACGGAGGTTACGATGGCTGGATCCCACATGGCCAGCTGTATGGTTCAAATCCTGTGGCTTTAAAGACAGGGTGTGTGTGTGTGTGCATGTGCCCACAAATCCCAAGGTAAGAATGGAAGAGATGGGAATGTGGTGTGTTCATTCCTCCTGGAGGGTGATTTCTCATTTTCCTCTCTGTCTCTCAATCTGTGTGTGTTGTGTGTATTTCTGGTGTGCACACATACCCTAGAGCAAAAATAATAATAATAATAATAAATAACTTTAAAAGAAATGGACACCTCTGTACAGCAGGACACTCAAACGAGAACATTCATAGCAGCCATAATTACTGAAAACTGAAAATAGCCCAAATACCCACCAACAGCATATACTCCACTACACTGTGGTACGGTCATTCGATGGGACATTAGAGGGATGGAAATCAATCTCACACACACTGTTAAATAAAAAAATAAAAAAAATAAAAAACCACATAGAGTATGCTTCTATGAGTATAGAGTTCAGAAACGGGCAGATCAAGAAAAGCTAGAAACAAGCACCAGGTCAGATAATGGTTCCTTCTCTTTTTTTTTTTGGAGAGGTTTTCACTATAGGGCGCATGCACTCGCCAGACAGAGACAGACATAGAGACAGAAAGTGAGAAATCACCCCCCATGGGGGATGGTCACACCACAATCCCTTCTCCTCCATTCTCCTTTCGGGATCTTGGGCATGCACGCACACGCGCCCGGTGTGAGTTTTAAGCCACTGGGTCCGGGACGTGAACCGTGGTCGACTACGTGGGAGTCCAGCGACATAGCCATTACCCTAACTGCTGGTTCCCGATAATGGTTCCTTCTAAGAGAAAAGGAGTTGTGATTGAGCCAGGCCACCTGGGGGGATTCTGGAGGGCCTATTTCTGAACCTGAGTGCTACTGCACAGGTGTTTGCTGCATTATAACGTGTACGAATGCACACATAGGACCAGCAGGTAGTATGGAGGTTAAGGTGCTGGATCTCACCTGGCTGACAAGTTCCAGACCCTAGCAGCTCAAAAATCATGCCTAGCATGTGCAAGCGTGCCCAAAATCCCAAGAGGAGGATGGAGGAAAAGGGATTGCAGCATGGCCACCCTACCCCCCTGGGGAGGCGGGGGAGCGATTTCTCTTTCTCTCTCCCTGGTGAGTGCACGCACCCTATAGCAAAACTTAAAGGAAAAAAGCACATACAAATTTCAGGCATATTCCTAGATTTTTGTTATATTTTACAATCAAAAACGTTAATAAGATTAGAGCCATCCATACTAAAGAATGCCTGGGGGACCGGCAGTTAGCATAATGGCTATGTCGCTGGACTCCCATGTAGTCGACCGCAGTTTTTTGAGTCCTGAACCCGGCGACTTAGAACTCATGCTGGGCACATGTGCGTGCCTGCCCAAAATTCCAAGAGGAGAAAGTATTGCAATATGGCCATAACCCCCTGGGTGGTGATTTCTTGCTCTCTGTCTCTCTCTATCTTTCTGGTGAGCGCACGTACCCTCTAGCAAAAAGAAAAACAAACAAACAAAAAAAACTCTCCAAAAAAGAAAAAAAAAAGAATATTTGGTAATTATTTAAAGGAATAAAGTGATATAAGACACTTGCTAGGTGAAAAAGCAACGGACAGAATGGTGGGTAGAGGATGCTATTATCAGGATAGGATAATTTTATTTACTTTTTTAAATTTGCTGTAAGGTGTATGCACTCACCAAAGAGAGACAGAGAGGAAAGTGAGAAAGCACCCCCAAGAGGAGATGGCCACACCTCAATTCTTTCTCTTCCCTTCTCCTCTGGGGATTTTAGGCACACATGCACACACGCCTAGACAGGTCTGGAGCTGGAATCACGCAGTCAGCCATGTGGAATCTAGCAGCCTTAACCTCCATGCCACCAGTTGGCCCTATCAGGGTAAAATTGTAAAGTTTATATACTGGTGTACAAGCCCTTTTCTAAAAGAACAACAAAGGAAAATTAAGAGTTCTCTTTGAGGCAAAGAACTAAGTGTTGGAGGGGCACATTTATATCTTTTATTTATTCATTTTCTGTTAGAAGTCTGACTACGCTACTTTGATTGATTTAATAAATATTGCATTCCTGAACAGTGCTTGGGGGACTCCTCAGAGGGAAAATCTTCATCTTTGTTATTTTTGCTTTGCCTTTTTTTTTTTCTTGCCAGAGGGCATGTACACTGGTCAAAGAGAGACAGAGAGGGAGGAGAGAGCACGCTACAGAGCTACATCACAACCTCTTTCTCCATTTCTCCCTCCTGGTGGGTTTTTGGGCTGCGTGCGTACACGTGCACGCACGCAGCCTATTTTTCAAGTCGTCAGAGCCAGGATTTGAACTGCACAGTTGGCTGTGTGGGATCCAGCTCCTTGAACGACTAGACTGTGGGGCGGGACCAAGTCCCCATCTCTCTTAAAAGGTAAACTAAGGCTGATCCTTAGCAGGAAGGCTTTGCAAGCAGGCATGGCAGGCTAATTATGGCCACGAAGAACAAGATAGGCCAGCCTGTCTTACTCTGTGCTCACATTGGGGCCCACAGGGGACCCGGGCTGTCAGGTCCAGGCACGAGGCCCGACCAGATCCAGCAGCTCCGAGGGCTCCAGGCACTCTTTGCACCTGGGGCAGGGTGCCCCACGTGTCTGCAGTCCTGGCAGTCACAGCCCATTCCTCATCTGCAGAGCTAAGCAAGGCAGCTCCTGCACCCAGAGGAAAAGGCACTCGACGCTCCTGCCCAAGAGGTAGGGGAGTCGATGACTGTGTGGACCTTCACAGACCTGACTCCAGAGATTGAGAGATCGCCTCTACAACAGCTGGTGGCAAGCTCTGCCCCGAAGCTGCACCGCATGCTGCAATTGCTCTGCCGCAGACTGGCAAGTTCTCCCTCCATACCAATTAGCACTGACTGCGTGTGGCCTGGGTTGGGGCCTTGATATCTAGATGCTCCCCTACCTGAAGGCACTCAGCCTCAGGGCAGTGAAGAAGAGAGGAAGTCGGGACCAGCAGTTGGTGTAATGGCTATATCGCTGGACTCCCATGTAGTCGACCATGGTTTGAGTCTCAGACCCAGTAGCTTAAACTCACGCCAGGTGCGTGTGTGTGCCTAAGATCCCAAGAGAAGGGATTGCGCTGTGGCCATCCCCCCTGGGGGGTGATTTCTCGCTTTCTGTCTGTCTTTCTCTGTCTTTCTAGCGAGCACATGTGCCCTATAGCAAAAACCTCTCCAAAAAAAAAAAAAAAGGAAGAGAGGAAGTCACCCCCAGAAAAGGCAGAAAAGGCAGCTTGCCAACAGGGATGCTACCAGCCAGTTTCAAAGACCAGGACCCAGACAAGCCCCATGGCCAGCCCTGGCTACTACTCACCCCCTCTCAGGCAGGGCACCCACTTCCCAAGAGTCACAGCCCTGGAAGTTCTCCCTCAAGTCTGCCCTCAGCACCAGGGAACAAATTCCACTGTTCCCCCATCTGAGTTGCTTGGGCTCAGAAAGTACAAATGCATCTCATCAGCGTGATTCAAGCCAGGGCTTAAGCCATCTTGTGAGGCACTGGCAGAGGCTAACAAGAGAGGCTTTGAAGATCGTTGCTTAGTGTCTGCCACGGTGGCCATGGCCCTGCCCCTGCACACGCTGGGGAGGGGCCTGTGGCTGGAACCCCGTTCTCACAGCTGAGAGCAGAGGCCACCCATCACGGCAGGCCACCCTTCTCCTTGCCATCACACCTGGGAGAGGGGCTCTGCAACAGCCCTTTCATCCATCGTGGGCAGCGATTTCCCTCCCAGGCTGGCATCTAAGAGCCACATCCACCTGCAGGTCTCCCAGGAGAACTGGGAGAGCCAGACTCTGTCCCACCTCGTGCTCTGCTTCCACTATTCCCTCTGGCAGGAAGGCCCTTCCCCCAAAGCCT